GAGATCAATTTCAGAGGCCCATGCAGGAAAAAGAGAGAACCTGCTCCCACTGGTTCACAGTTATCCTCTGTGAATATCTTCTGTGATATTCACACACATGCTCAAGCACACACACACACACACACACACACGCACGCACGCACGCACGCACGCACGCACGCACGCACGCACATACACCCATACACATCCACACACACTCCCATGCACACATACACACATACACACACACACACACACACACACACACACACACACACACACGAAATAGTTAAAAACAAAGCACATCAAGGAGCTGCAGAGACAGCTCAGTGGTTGCATGTACTGAACTCACAGAGGTCTAAGTTTGGCTCCCAGCACCTACATCAAGCAGCTTTACAAACAGTTGCAACTCTAGCTGCAGGAGATTCAACACTCTCTTCTAATCTCTGAGGGTACCTGCATGACTGTGGCACACATAAACTCACATAGGGACACATAAATAACTCTTTAGAAGCAGCAGCTGAGGGCAGAAGTGTGTGCAGGTGTCCAGCCCTGCCCCCTTCTCCAGACCAGGATCCCGGTCAGAGAACAGCAACATGCACAGTGGGCAGGTCTTTGCCCTTCATTAATGTTATCAGGACAATTTTCTATAAGCATGCCCCAAAGCATGATGATTCTAGATTCTGCCAAATTGGCAACACTAATCATCAGACACAGGCTCCATTCTGATTTGTTTTCCATGTTTCTTTTGTCTGATGTCACCAGACGGCAAAACAAATCCCACAAAGGAGACTTTCACAGATATAACACCAGCTATAGAAGTAGCAGGAAGGCAGTGTTTTAACTCCTTGTGAGCATCCTCTCAAATACTGCATAGTATGTGAATGTGTTATACAGAAGCTTAAACCACTTCTATAACAGTCCAAACAGCTGCTCACTTTCTGCTAAATAACTCAAGTCAGAGTGCTCATCACACAGTAATAACTCACTCTTCTGGCTGGGACACTTGACCATTTGTTCAGAGGAATGCTGACTGTGCAGTGACTGTGTCAGACAATGCATTCAGCACTGGGGAAATGGCAGCAAAGAACAGAGATGAGGTCTCTCATTTCCTGTTGTGGGATATGGAAGAAAAATGGAAATACAGCATGTTTGGTTATGCTGTGGCTAGAGACAAAGTCTATGAAGACAAAACGAAACACAATAAAGGATATTGGGTATAAATACAATAAATACACAATAAATGGCAAGGGTATTGTTACTATATAAGGGTAGCCGAGGTTCCCTGAGGAGAAGGACATGTGACCATTCTCCTAAACGAAGACAGAGCAAAGTCAAAAGCCCTGGATCAGAAATGAATGATTTCCTCATAGTCAAAAGTAATCTAGTAGCTGGGGATCTGGTCAGTTGGTTGAGTGCTTGCCTAGCATGAAGAAGACCCTGTGTTCAACTACCAGCACATAAGCCAGGCAACCTGCCATATATCTGTGATCCAGTACTTGGGAGGTAGAGGCAAAAGGATCTGAAATCCAAAGTTTTTCTTAGCTACACACCAAATTTGATATTGACGTGCGTTACATGAGACCCTGTCCCAAAAAAAAGGCAGTCTGGACTCTATCTCCAAAGGCATGAATCACAGCCACCACATCCATCACTGAACCCTTGTCTTGGTAGGGTTGATGGTTAGGCCAAAAGGCTCGACAGCTGTCCCTCGGGTCAGCAGCTTCTATAAAATTACCATTCTGTCCGCATCTTCATTCCAGGCTGATAAAAATGTCACACTTCAGATTTAAGCTGTAGTTAAGCTGGAGGAGTACATGCCTACCCTGCACAAAGTCCTGGGTTCAAACCCCAATACCAAACACAGAGGTCTAGTGTCTCATGCCATAATGCCAACCCTACAGAGGTAAAAGCAAGAAGACCAGCTACATAGCAAGTTCCAGGCCAGCCTGAGACTGTGAAGAGCCTGTTTCAAATCAAAGTTAAAAACAACAACAACAACAAAATGCCAGGCTGGATAAGAGGGAAAGAAAGGCTCCTCCCATCCCCCTCCCTGCCCTCCTCCCCAGCTGGCCATCATAAGGGTCCCCCACTTCTTCATTCTCCAGTTTCCCCAGCATCCTTTTCAACAAAGGAGGTGGAAATGTGATTGTTTATGAGTTAGGTGGCTTACTCTAAGCCATCTGTGAGCAGTAGACAGAAATATCATGACTGATAATGACAGCCCCAGCAGTAAGTGAACATAGAGCAGGAGCCCTATTGATCGAATCATCCACCCCTCTACTCTGAGTGTGTCTCACCATCACCCTCCACGCTCGGAACCCCACCACCTACTCCACATACACCCAGCAAATCTGATTAAGAGAGTGTGTGTGTGTGTGTGTGTGTGTGTGTGTGTGTGTGTGTGTGTCAATGCTATGGAAGACACACAGGAAAAGTCTCCAAACAGGACCTGGGGACCCTGACACTCCCAGGTTCTGACTTTTTTCTGCCTTGTGGTGTTCCCATTATTTGTTGCTCTGTAACAAAACATTCAGAAACTTAATAGCTTCAAGCAGCTGTGATGTCTGTCCTGCTCCTGAGTTTGGTTTGGCCAGGGACAGCTTGTCTCCACTCCACTCTGGAATGCAGACATGCAGCCTTTCCTCCCAGATGCTGGATTCTCTGGGAGCCTGGAGGCAACACCCTTGCAGACAGTGGCTCAAAGCCCTGTGGTCCTTTATGGCCTGGCCTCTTAAGTCATAAAGGCTCATTTCTGCCACATTTACTAGAAGTCACTTACGCCAACCTATAGGTGAGAAACAGTGAGAGAAGAACATGTGAGGATTTTAAAGTCTATTAGATTGAGGCCACTAGATTTTATCATTTACTTTTGGTTTGTTTGTGAGACAGGATCTCAGAGAGCCCACACTTGTTTCCAACTCTGTAGCTAAGGTTGGCCTTTAACTCCTGATCCTTCTGCCTCTACCTCCCAAGAACTGAGATTATAGGCTCCTTGCTCAGTTTATGTAATGCTGGGGATGAAGTCCAGGGCCTCAAGTATGTTAGGCAAGCACTGTATCAACTCAGTTACATCCCCAGCCTGGCCATAGTTGTTAAGCACAAATCCATAAAGAGGGTGTTTTATTTCTACAGAGGAGTCACTGAGCTGAACTTAGCAAGAATAGGGAATGTCTGCAAGTCGACTTAATGATCTTTTGTTTGGGAATCCTGCGAGCTAACTTCCCCCGCCTCCATCTGCAGCTCTTCTCTGTGCCTAGGCCTAGAAAAGTCAAATTCCTTTCCTAAGTAAAGAGAAGTTGGGACTGGAGTTCACCTTGGGCCCAAAGTTGTACCACTGAACATTTATTCACTCACTTCGAGGTGAAGCCCATGAAGATCAAACCTAACTTACAGTTTGCATCCAACAAGGAATCAGGTGCCAGTAAAACCCTCCAAAGAGACTCTATCTCTGGATGTCTGGAGAGTTTCATGCTCAAGTTTAGCAGATCCTTCAACAAGTAGAGACTGTTTCAATCTACCCAGGCCAGCTTTCGTTTTCTCCAGGGAACAGTTAGACTAGATTTCCTGGAGTTAGACTGACCATGTGACTAATTCAGAGCCAAGGAAATGAAGACAGAAATAAAGGAAGCTACTTCTGATCCTGGTCCATAAAAACTTAGTGTGGAACTTTATCTTCTTTTCTTTCCTGGTCCACTGTCTAGATAGAAGGACGGAGGGGTCCAAAGTAACAAGAGAGAGGAGGCCTGAATGTGGTGGACAGCACAGAGCCAGGCATGGCAGCACAGGCTTTTAGCCCCAAGATTCAAGAGACAGGCTAATCTCTCTCTGTGAGTTCAAAGCCAGGCTGGTCTACATAGTAAGTTGCAGGTCAGTCAGGGCTACACAGTGAAGCCCTGTCTAAAAGAAATAATAATTAAAACAAAAGAAATTAGCACAGATCTTGTTGCATCAGTAAAAAATAAACTTTCTTTAAAAGATTTATTTTATGTCATGCGCATGAGTGTCTGCATGTGTATACATATGTGTGTACCCCACATACATACGTGGTGCCCAAGGAGGCCAGCAGAGGATGTGGGATCCCCTAAAACTGGAGCTACGGAAGTCTGTGAGCCACCGTGTGGGTGAGCCAACTCTCCAGGCCTCCAAATAAACTTTTATCACCTCAAGCCCTCTACCAAAGTTTTTTTTTTTTTTTTGGTGGTTGTCTATATGGACTGCCATTCGAGAAATAGTTCCCCTCTTCCTCTCCTGTCAGTGGAATATGCTCCACTACTCGACACTGGAATGGGGAATGGATGGTGAGTTTCACCCCTAGCTGAATATAATAAAACTTATTATCTAAGGGGGTTGCACAAGCTGAAGAGGTAAACTTTTCCAGGAATTCATATTCCACTCCCGAAATGGGTTAATAAGAAAAGCAAGATTTGCAGGCACACTGGCTTTTTCTTTTTCTTTTTAAAATCACATTCAAGGTTAACTGAAGGAGGAAAACCACACCCTCTGGTACAGTGTTCCTAAGAGACCTCTCACTGAGAGAAGGAACAGTGGAGCCCTCCCAGGACTCTCCAAGCTCCCACCTCCACCCTTAGACAATGCCCGAAACAGTGTGTTTTAAGAAGCACAAGAAAGGAAAGGAGGAGACTCTAGAGAGGCAAACACCAGAGACTTAGGGCGAGGCAAGCTGGGTGTCTCCCGCGAGCAGGGCTGCAGTAGAGCGCGCGTGCTCGCCCGCCCGCACACCCACAACCCCACACTACACATACACGCAGCAAAACCTCAGTCCTTCCCCGCTGCCACCCACGCCCTTCCCACGAGGTGAGCAGCAGGCTCCTGGGTACTGGGAGAAGGAGATGCAGCAGGGAAAGAGCCCGCAGAGAGCTTGTGTCTGCCACCCCACCGCGGGACCGCAACGGGCAAACCTCGCGGGCCGAGAAGGGCGGAGCCCGGGACTGCCTGGAGATGCTGAGCCCCCGACCCAACGCGCGCGCTGACCACGCCCCCCCACGGGCTGACCACGCCCCCGCTGCGGCGGGCGAGAGGCGGGGCGGGGCGCGGTGTATATAAGGCGAGGGGCGGGCGCCGCTCTTTGGTCTCTTGCTGCAGCAAGGCGAGTGGGAGCACCTGGAGCGCGAGCTCGGAACGAGACTCCACGGTGAGACACATCGCTGGGCTTAGGGCCTACCCTGGGTGGGGTCGGGGCAGCTTGTGGCTGGCGGGAGCGTTCCCCCCGGGGTGCAACAGGCGACCCGGCGGTTTGGAACATTCCGAGGCTGGCAGGCCACGCCCTGGGATTTAGGAGGGAGGGTGTGGTGGACGAGCCCGGGATCCTCGGCCTCCGGGCCGGGAATGCCACGTCGAGAGGTGTTCGCGGAGGGCGCAGGATCCAGGGATCGCTGGTCATCCCCAAGCCTTGGTTCGCCCATCAGGGTTCTAAGAAAATGGCAGACAAGCCGGACATGGGGGAAATCGCCAGCTTCGATAAGGCCAAGCTGAAGAAGACCGAGACGCAGGAGAAGAACACCCTGCCGACCAAAGAGAGTGAGTTCGCCCCCGCCTCCGGGTTCCCACCCCAGCACTCCACCCTTCCCTGCTGTGCCAGCCCGGCACCCCCCACCCCCATCCGGCCACCACTGCCCAGCCCGAATCTGAGC